ATATTGATGTTTTGAAAACAGTTCACAGAAGAGGAAATGCTGGAGGTCTTAGAAAATATAAAAGTGGATAAATCTCTGGGACCTGATCTAGTGTATCCCAGAATGTTGTAGGAAGTTAGGGAGGAAATTGCAGGGCCCCTTGCAGAAATACTTGTATCATAACTACAGGTGAGGTACCGGATGACTGGAGAGTGGCTAACGTTGTGCCTTTGTTTAAGAAAAGATGTCAGGATAAGCCTGGGAACTATAGCCCAAGCATCTGACTTCACTGGTGGGTAAGTTGTTGGAGGTGATTCTGAGAGATAGGATTTATATGCATTTGGACAGGCAGGGAATGATAAGGGATAGTCAGCCTGGTTTTGTGCGAGGGAAGTTCTGTCTCACAAACTTGATTGAGTTTTTTGAGGAAGTAACCAAGGAGATTGATGAGGGCAGAGCAGTAGACATTGTTTACTTGGACTTTAGTAAAGCCTTTGACAAGGTTCCGCATGATAGACCAATTAAAGTTAGATCACATGGGATTCAGGATGAGCCTGCCAATTGGATACAAAATTGGATTAATGGCAGGAGACAGAATGATGGTGGAGAGTTGTTTTTTGGACTGGAGAACTGTTAACTGCAGTGTTCCACAGGGATTGATGCTGGGTCCACTTTTGTTAGTTATTTACATAAATGATTGAAATGACAATATAGAAGGTATGGTTAATAAGTTTGTGGTTGACACCAAAATTGGTGGTATAGTGGACAGTGAAGAACGTTAAGTAAGATTACTAAGAGATCTTGATCAATTGGGTCAATCGCCTCAGGAGTGGCAGATGGAGTGTAATTTGGATAAATGCAAGGTATTATAATTTGGTAAAATAAACAAGGGCAGGACTTGTACAATTAATGGTCAGGGCTTGGGTAGTGTTGTAGAATGGAGAGACCTAGAAGTTGAGGTACATAATTCTTTGAAGTTTGCATCACATGTAGACAGGATGGTTATGAAGGCATTTAGCACGCTTGCGTTCATTGCTCAGACCACTGAGTAAAGGAGTTGGTACATCATGTTAAGGCTGTGCAGGACATTGGTGAAGCCTATTCTGGAGTATTGTGTCCAGGTGTGGTTGCCCTGTTATAGGAAGGATAATATTAAGCTGGAGAGTTCAGAAAAGATTTGCCAGGATGTTGCTGAGAAGGGAGGGTTTGGGTTCTAAGGAGAGGCCGGATGGACTGGGTTTTTTCCCCCATTGGAGCGTAGGAGGTTGAAGGTTGGCCTTATAGAGCTTTATAAAATCATGAGGGATATAGGAAAGGTGAATGGCAGGTGTCTTTTCCATTTGTTTCCATCTATTTTACTTTAGTGGAAAGTGTCTGCTCCTGGCCCAAGCTCAGCATAAGTTGGATTCCAACAGCCCAGAATGGCAGTACAGGTCTGACACCTGGAGGGGTGGTCTCCCACTATGGTGATCTTGTCCAGGAGGGGCAGTCAAGGTTTGGAGTGGCGTTCTTGTCCTGGCGTGGAGGTTTCGTCCTGGCGTGGAGGTCTTCTTCAGGGGCTTCCAGGCATTCCAGCAGCCTGGCGTGAAGATCTTGACCTTGCTTTGGAGGCGTCTTCCGTGTCTTCCAACAGCCCAGCACGGTGTGGTCGGGTGGTCTCGGTCCGTACTGCGGGGCGGTTTCGGTTAGGTTTTCCAGCTTACCACGAACCCAGGAGTCGTCTATTGAACTTTGATGAACCCTTACTTTATTTTTCTTATTATTTACAATTTCTGTTGTTAACTTAGGTGCCATGGTATGACGGCTTACAAAGTTGTTCACTTTTTTTTGGTAAAAATACATGTAACAATAAATTGCTAATCTTTTCTATTTCCCTAGGGTTCTGAATTTCGAGACTAGGGTCATAATTTTATGGTGAGAGGAGAAAGATTTAAAAAAAAAGGGGGAAATTTTGTGTTTTGTTTACACCGTGTGGAATGAACTTCCAGAGAAGCGGTAGATGCAGGTACAGTTACAATGTTTAAAAGACATTCGATAAGTACATGAATAAGAAATGTTTGGAGGGATATGGGCCAAGCGCACACAGGTGGGACCAGTTTAGTTTGGGGCATGGACTTGTTGGACAGAAGGGTCTATTTCCGTGTTGTATAACTCTATGATGCTATCTTCAGCAAGTAATTTCTTCAGTAGACAAGGCTACATGTACCTGGCACATCTGACTTAATTTTCAATTTTCTGGCCTCTATTAGAAACCACTGAAACACAGTAGCAACTTTAAAGACAGTCCACACACAATATCTGCACGGCAAAGAAGTTATTACAATAAATAAGCTTCTGTTTCATGAGTGCACAAAGCTGACAAACAAAATTTCCTGTTTTGCAAGAGTTCTTAAACATTAAAACATTCTGGATTTATACAAATCAAAGTATTTTATGTCTACATTATTTTGGGGGGATGGTGGCTCAAAATACATTTACACAATAATGAATTGTCAAAAATCAACAACTCTGGAAAACTATTTTTTAAAATGTCATGTTCTCATAAAATGCCACTGTTGGAGGGTCACAAAAATTAAGATACTTTATTGTCTTGATTAAAGTGCAACTATTTCTTCATACAAAAGTTTTATTCTATGCTTACTGGTCTGTGTATAAACACAACTGGAAATTACATGTTGTGCAGGCACTCAAGGAGACATAACATTAGGCTTAAATAAGTAACTGGTCAATATAACAGCAACATCTAGATCCAAGTTGAAAGATTCAATCCAATCTGAAAATCTGATCGCATTAAATATTAGCTTCATCCCAATGAACTACTTTCAAGGCTCCACAGCTATATTATTATAAAAATGCAACTTAATGGAAGACAACATAATTAAATTGTGAACTATTTATTTGCCACTAATCATGTTAAATACATAACTTTTATTTTTTTGCCAGCAAGTTAACTTCAGAAACATAACACCAATATTTACACAAAGGAATGTTACATTAAGATATGTTAAGGCGCAAATTCTTTTGGCTTTGTTTTGGATACAATAGTAATAGCAAAAGTTATGCAATTTTTTAAACGAGAAATCATGATTAGCTACAATGTTTTACAAAAATATGGTGCAAGTTGACAATTATTTTATTCAACATTTTCAAGTTCTGAAATGGATGTGTTAATTTATACAGTTGTAACTATTTAAATTTACATATAAAGGTAAACTTTTTAAGATTGAAAATTAAAAAGCTTCACAAATGGAGGTTCTAAGCAACAGTTTTGAAGGTCTGCAGTATCAAGTTGGTTTGGTGGATTAATCGATTGGCGCTGATGAACACATTAATTGCCCTGTTTAAAAACAAAAACAATTGTTTCAGTCCATGATTTATCCTAATTCTAACGCAATCCAAAATATATACTTATCCTCCACTGTAATTGCTCAAAATAAAGCCAAATTTATTGGGAATGCAAGGCAGTCAATTTTAATCAATAAACTTTGCATGGTCAGCAAGGAGAGATCACATTTTCTTCTTTATTCTTTCATGGGATGAGGGCGTCGCTGACTGAGCAGCATTCATTGCCCATCCCTAATTGCCTAGAGGGCAGTTCAGAGTTAACCATATTGCTGTGGGTCTGAAGTCACATGTAGGCCAGACCAGGTAAGGATGGCAGTTTCCTTCCCTAAAGGACATTAGTGAACCAGATGGGTTTTTCCTGCCAATCAACAATAGATTCACGGTCGTCATTAGACTGTTAATTCCAGATATTTTATATTGAATTCAAATTATACCATCTGCCGTGGCAGGATTTGAACTTGGGTCCCCAGAATAGTATCTGGGTCTCTGGATTAACAGTCCAGTGATAATACCACAAGGCCATTGCCTCCCGTCCAGAGTGAGACCCAGCCCAAGTGAGTATACAGTTCAGGGACTTTGGAGACAGGGTGGGAATTTGGTGCAGAAGGGAGGAGGTGCTTTCTAACTTGCTTTTTCGGCTCATAGTTTGTAAGGTATTTTTTTAAACAGGATAAATTGGAACCAGGATCAGGGGCCCCCAGCAGAAAACAATGACATCACAAGTAAGCTGCAAGTTCATTGGTTGGTGCTAGATACTAAATGACAATTACAGCTTACTTTCAGATTGAAGACAAGTAGGGGAAATATTTACAGGTTACAAACTTAAAAAAAAGTAGGAAATTTTTAAACATCGAATTAAGAACTAATAATTAAAATAGAGATGCCAGTACAGGTGATGTGTTGTAACTGCATGATATGGAAACTGGTGAACCATATTGTGTTTATAGTGACCACAACTGTAGCAAATGTTGGTTGCTTGAGGATCTCCAGCTCAGAGTTGATGAGCTGGAGTCTTAGCTTCAAATACTGAGACATCCGGGAAGAGGCCTAGTCATTGAGCGTGTTTAAGACAAAGGTACATCGATTCTTGATCTGTAAAGGGATCAAGGGTAACGGGGAGAAGGCAAGAGAATGGGACTGAGAAACATATCAGCCATGACTGAATGACGTAGCAGACTCGATGGGATGAATGGCCTATACCTTACTGTCTTCTAGTTTTAAACAAAGTCTTAACTAGAGCACTCTACAATTATCAGCATTAGCAAACATGGAGTGTGGTGAACTATTCCCATTGGTGATTGTATTTACAAAAACAAACCTTCTTGTGAAGTATGAAGGTCACTTATTTTAAAGGCAGTCAAGTCCTCCCCATGCTTCCCTGATAGTGCAACTGATAGGAAACATCATTTTATTCAAATTTTTATTTAAATACCTAAAACTATTGCGACAACTACAAACTAAATTTAACATTGCACAAAGCCTGATTTGTAAGATGACACTACGAATGCAAAAGGAATACAAATGTTTAATCTTAATGTAATACTTACTTTCCATCTTTAAAGTAGGTTTTTAAAGTATCACTGAAGCTTTTGGAGTATTTGACAAATTCTTTCTTTTGGTGATCAAGCGCCTGAAAGTGACAAAGTTTAATTTAATCATTTTTTAAAGGTTTACACACAAGTTAAAAATAAAACTCAGTTTAGCCATCCAAATAAGCAGTCTTTGGCTGTGAATTATTTGGATGCATTTCTTCAAAATATTGTATTCATGGATGCGACACAAGCATGAAAGTCTCAATGTTGCAGATCAATCTGAGTTACATTATTTAAAAATGGAAGTGAGTCAGCAGCTTATCAAAGTATTTCACATTTAATTAACATTTTATGATGACTGCAGTATAATTTTCACAAGCACAGATGTCATAAATTTCACATTAACAAGGACTTGAAAGAAACAGTGACAAGTGAAATAATGATAATACAGCTTTATAGCTCAATGTCTCAGGAACAGTTTAAACTAAGAAGCTTAAAGCACCTTTCACCAGAATAATACACTGGAAATGTATGCAGTCCTTGACCAACTCTCTCACATTATAAATCAATCAACTGGTGTAATTGGCAATATTTATATTACAGCGTCTCTGGGCATTATTTATGTCATACTTACTCTACGGTTCTGGTACTGGTATTTTTTGAAAACATTGTTCACAGTGTCAAGAAGCTCCTTTATTGCACTGGCAATATCCCTGCAAAGAAAAAAAAGAAAATGCTAGAGAAATTAACAAACCCAGTAAGTGCCATGTTTCACTTGGGCAGGACAATAAAGGCATGGGAACACATGAGAACAGGAAAACCCGAGGAATGCACTGAGGGTTAGAGGGGCTTTGTTGTGCATGTCCACCATTCCCTCAAAGATCAGGGTGGGTGGATAAAGTGGCTGAGGCAGCATTTGAAATACTTCAGAAAATAAAGTAACAAGCTTAAGAGCAGGGAGATTATGCTAGAATTGTATAAAAAGTTGGTTAGGCTACAGCTAGAGTATTGTGTGCAGTTCCGGAATCCACATTATAGGATGGAGGTGATTGCAGTGGAGAGGATGCAGAAGAGATTTACCAGAATATTACCTGGGCTGGAGAGTTGTAGTTGTGAAGGGAATTGGGTAGACTGGGGTTTGTTTCATTGCAGCAGAGGATACTGAGGGGGGCATGATTGAGATGTATAAAACTAGGGCAGGCAATGGACAGGGTAGACAGGAATAAACCTTTTCCTTTGGTGGAGGGATTAACAACCAAGAGGCGAAGATTTAAGGTAAAGGGTAGGTGGTTTAAGGGGGATGCAATGAAAATGTTTTCACCCAGAGGGTGGTGGGATTCTAGAACTCACTGCTGACAAGGTTAATCAAGGGCAGAAACCCTCAGAACATTTAAGTAGTATTTAGATATATATTTGCGATGCCCAGGCATACAAGGCTATGGAAAGTGGGATTAGGACAGTTAGGTGGTTGTTTTTGACCAAAGTAGACACAATGGGCCAAAGTGCTTTATCGTGTGCTGTGCACCTCCGAGTCCAAGCTAAGTTAGGTAAACCGAGTACTGTCAAGCTTCATAGTACAGACAGATACATAGCATTGATGTTATCTGCTTTGAAATTTGCTACTGGATACTTTCAAACAGAGTACCAGACTCAAAGCTCCTCATAACTTTGATTAAGACCATAAGATGTTGGAGCAGAAGACAGCCATTCAGCCCATCGAATCTGCTCCACCATTCAATAAGATCATGGCTGATCTGATGATCCTCAACTCCACTTTCCTGCCTTTTCCTCAATCCATCGATTCCTTTACTGATTAAAAATCTATCAATCAGTCTTTAAATAAACTTAATGACCCAGCTGTACAACCCTCTGCGGTAAAGAATTCTACAGAATCACTACTCTCATAAGAAATTCCTCTTTATCTATCTTAAATGGGTGAATAAATCTGAATGCTTAATCCCTATCCACTTTATGTGAAGCATGCCTACAGACATAAATGCACGTTTACGTGTCATAATCTACAGCAACCTGTTTAAAGATAAATTTGGGTTGAGGTTCAATGAGAATCTTAAAAAAAAAATGTTCGAGATGCCAGCATTTATTTCCTATTGTCAAGTGTACTTGAAGTGGGTGGTGAGCTGCCTTCTTAAACTACTTGGGTAGTTCTTTTGGACAATGGACACCCACAATGTTGTTAAGAAGGGAGTTCTATGGTTTTGACCCAACAAGAGAACTGTTATAATACTTCCAAGTTAGTATGGCAAGAGACGAGGAGGGGAACTTGTACGTGGTGGTGTTCCCATGCATCTGCTGTATTTGCTCTTCGAGATGATAGAGGTTGCAGGTTTGGATGAGTTATTGCAGTGCACCTTAAGATGCACTGTGTGTCAACGAAGGGAGTGAATGCTGAATGCGGTGGACATGATACCTATCAAGTGGACTGCTTTGTCCTGGATGGTATAAAGCTTGAGTATTTCTGGAGCCGTACTTATCCAGGCAAATTCAGAATATTCCATCATCAGTCTGACATGTATGAAAGAGGAAGCATGTCACTTGCTGCAGAATTCTTAGAATCCGACTGGAACATAAGCAGTCATTAAAAAAATAAAGTTTATCAAGCACTCTTCTACTATTCTAGCTCACCCAACCCCAAACACACAACAGCATTTTGAACACTCACTTTGACTCTCTTACTTTTTGATTAATATCCGAGTAGGGGTAAAGGATAGCAAACAGTAGGGAGTTAAAGTTATTGACTTAGACTGGTGGTAAAGGGAATTGTGTTCCACAGGGATTAATAATGAGGTCACGATTTTTCACGAAGAAAAACCCAAATTGCAGGCAAAACTCAGCAGTCTGGCAGCATCTGTGAAGACAAAGCAGAGTTAACATTTTAGGTCCAGTGACCCTTCTTCAGAACATGATTATTCATCTTCTTTTGAAATGATTTGGATTCAATATTTGGAAGTAACATTTCAAAATTTGCGGGTATATCAACACAAAGGAAGAGTTCAACGAAATACAAGACATCAACACACTTGTGGAATGGACCTATCAAATTAGAAGGGTGTTTCCTTTAAAATATTGTGAGGTGGTACATTTAGTTAGGATATGGAAGGAAAAACCAGACACTCAGCAGAAAATTAGTCTGAAATGGATTCGAATCAGGGGCAACAAATTATTAAAAAGTACCAACTCAGATTAATAAGGCCACTATAAATGAAAAGCCACTGTGGTTCATTTCTACAGAAATACAACTGCAAGGAGAAGTTGTTAAATGCACATGAAACACTGAAAGAGAACTTTAGTACGTGGAATACTCTGCACAATTCTGGTCTCTAAATTTAAAAAAGAACAAGTAAGTACCAGAGAAGGGGAAAAAACAGACTAAAAGTTAATGCCAGAACTGAGAGATTATAACCATCATTTAAAGGACTGAATAGTTTGGGGGTTTTCTCTTTCAAATGGGAACAGTGCCTGATAGAGATCACAAAGGAGTTTGCTAAAGTAGACACAAGGTAGCTTCATTCATGTTGAAGTCTAAAACTAGAATTTATAAATACAAAAGTCATGAGTAAATCCAATCAAGGAATTAGAGGAACTTTTTTGTTAGAGTGTTTGGATTGTGGAACTGAGTACTGCTAGTAGTTGTTATTGAGGCAAATTTCACAGATGTCTTTGAGGTGAAGCTAAGCAAGAACATGAAGGAGAAAATCTGCAGATGAATATCGTCATTGGTGAGATAAATTAGAGTGAGAAAAGAAAATATAGTACATGCAGGAAGGCTTGATTTCAATTTAGCAGATCTCCTACACATTCACAATACCTACTTGATTGTCTGAAGGAATCTAACCCTATCATTGATCTCATCAGGAATTTTACTGAGAATGTGCTTCAGTGCTCGTGCTTTATCATTTAGCTCCCGGAATTCAGGTTCTTGTCTGTCAATCATGTACTCTATAATACAAAATAATGAGAAAGAAAATTAGCTTTCAAGAAAAATGATCCTAATATAATTAGTAGTTTAATTAATTAATTGCTGAACACTTTTCCGTCACTTCAGTGAAATGAGACATCTTCAGCACAATACAAAAGTTTAAATTAGACCTTTAATTATATATGAGATAACA